AAATTCAACTGTATTACTTACTTATGTTATAATTCCTTTATATTTTGCAGAAGATGAATCAGGGAAAGAGCGAATACAATTCGAAGATTATTATTTCAAATGATGTAAGAAATCATCAAATTTCTTCCTACATTATTTGAAATAGTACTCTTTGAATTGTATCCGCTCTTTCCATGGTTCATCTTCATATATAGTACAGTCAATGGCATATAGGGCATATATGTATACACGCACACATAGATCGTTCACACATTCACACATTTTAGTTCGTGAACCATTGGTACGAGGTACGAGGCGCTACAAACTTTGCTTCAACTCGCCCCACTTAGGTTTGCCCCCCCAGGTATCCTCTCGCAATGAGTTTCTAACAAGTAGTTAGAGGTTAGAATAAGTAAATCGAAAGTATAAATTGTGCTGTACATTCTATAAGGAATTAATGTCGATAAATAATCGTCGAGAAATTTTACGACTATGTATGTAGCCGTGCACGTTTAAATTAATCTAATAAATTCCAGACTAAATCGTTAGTTTTATTCAGGAACATTCAAGTCATTGTTGGAGTTGTTATGCGATAGCGTAAGTAAAATAGTAGTATTGGTAATTTTTATTAAGAATGGATATTCACAAGGTTTTAAGTTTATTCAGTATAAACAAGGGATCTCTGTAACTTAACCTAATTTAACCTTCTTGTTCCTATCGCCATTGCTTGTTTAAGAATGACACGAATCGAAAAATATTAACCATGCTTTAAGGTAAGTGTTAAACACATCGAAAAATAAATTAGTATGTAAATATTTCTTACGAACCAATTGTCTTTAAGGACAATTTTCATTTGTAGGGAATGAATGTAACTAGAATTCTTAAAGTAACTGAATGAAATTAGGAAGATCAATCTTTAATTTAAACTAAACTTGAACCCATTTGCTCCAATAATAGCAAAGTTATCTACAATTGAAACTTGACGATAATTTTTCAGCAGAATTTAATCTTGAGAATTGGGCTTATTTTCATTCATTCATGAGCTTCGTCCCTTAGGAGTCGATTTAGGTAAAATTGTAAAGGGAACTAAATTACAGTAGGGTCTTTAAGCTTGAATTTAAGGCGGGGACGAAGTACATCGATTCCTTATTAATAAAGTTAATAACAATCGAAGTGAAACGATAGCTTGCGTTAGAATACTATCTTGAGATTTCGGTAAGATCATTCAAAGTCAGTTTTCCAAAGTCCTCTGGGAGTCGATTTACCTAAAATTGTCAGCGACACCGAATTAATGTAGAGGCTTTGAGTTTTAATGTGAACCGTGCACGAAGTAATAGATCGGTTCATTATTAACGAAGTTATGAACGACTGAAGTTGTATAATGTTATTCATTAGAATTTAATCTTAGGAATTCGACACATGTTCATTAACTGACGGTTTTCGTGACTTATGAGTCGAATTATACAGGTAAAATTGCGAGAGAACCTGAATTAAAGTAGATACTCCGAGCTTGAATTTAAGCCATGAACGAAGTATATCGGTTTTTTATTAACTATTGGAATGAAACGATAGCTTACTTCAGGATATTATCTTGAGAATTCGGCAAGGTTTCATTCAAAGTCAGTTTTTATTTCCTGGAAATCGATTTAACTAACAGATCTCAGAGACACTGAATTAATGTAGAGACTTGAAATTTTAATGTGAGTCGTGAACGAAGAAAATCGGTTCATTATTAATTTTATTAGCTGTTGAACTTTAACAATATTTTTATCTTCAGGATAGGACAAGGTTTCATTTAATGTCGATTTTCGTCCTTTAGGAGTTGATTTAGATAAAATCATAAGGACAGAATTGAAGTAGAAACTCTAGGTTTGAATTTAAATCGCGGACGAAGTAAATCGGTCCATTATTAATAAACTATTCATCTATCCAATATAAACAAATAACCTAATTAAAACTTCCAGGTTACGAAAAATCAAACGCCAACGGCCGCTCTTTTATTATCATCCAACCATGGACCCGTATGACGATATCCAATGGCTCCGCTACGAAGGTGTCAGTGGCGTCCTAATCACGGCCGTCTCCAAAGGGAATCTAACCGCAGTACAAGAATTCTTAGCAAATCATATACCATATCAACAAAAGGATTGGAGACCAGGCTATTCCTTAGCACGCCTCGCCCTCGCGATGCAGCACACAAACATCGTCAAAGTACTTCTAACGAATCTCTTGGAAATCTACAGTCAACAACGACTATCTACCACCGATCTACTCCACCTCGCTTCCATACGAGGTGACGAGCAAATGATCAATCTTCTCATCACCGAAGGTGTCCACATGGATGCGACGGACGATCTTGGCCGTACGGCTCTCCAACACGCAGTCATCAATAACAACCTAGAAAGCACTCGCTTGCTCCTATCCCTCGGAGCCAACATCGACATCAAAGGCAACGACGGCTACACAGCAATCCACCATTCAATTATACAAAACAATTCCGAAATCATTGGAATTCTGCTAAAACACAAAATTAACGTTGTTAACGACGAAAACGATCTTAGCGACGCCATGGAAAAACTCCATTCTGTTACTTTCGAAGAAATCTTAGAATCTGAATATTTCCATAATAAAAACAAATTAAACAGTCTTAAAGATGCGGTGTGCGGCCACGAGCCAATTTGCGAATTCATCGTCGCGTCGTTTTCGAAACACGGCGTGATCCTCAATCCCGAAGACTCGAAAAATCCTCAGTTACTTATAACTTCGATTCAAAAAGGGTATTTAAAAGTCGTCGAAGAATTATTGAAATTCGGCGCTGATGTCAATAAACTATACCAAAGTCCAGTGAATTATAAAAGTGAAGTTCTAATGAATTATAAAAGAACGACGCTATTACACGTTGCTGTGTCATCAAGACAATTAGAAATAGTAAGACTTTTAATCAATTATCGAGCAAATGTGAATGCGAAAGATTCTATGAAGGAGACGCCGTTATTTAAAGCTGTTCGCAATAACGACGTTGAAATTTTGAAACTGCTTTTGGCTCATTACGTTAAAACAGGCGATGAGCATGAACTATTGCGTATAGCGTTCAAAAACGAGTGTAAACGAATGATCGAACTCCTTTCGAGATATATCGATATTAATTGCAAGGACGAAAGTGGTAGAACGCTTTTACATTTATGCGTCAGTTCTTATGAAAGTAACTTTGATATGTTTAGATTTCTGCTTGGTGAGGGCGCGAATGTTAATGCAAAGACCGTGGAAGGTGTAACACCTCTTCACAAAGCTGTTTTCTTTCGACATATAAGCGAAGTCGATGTTCTGTTGAAATGTAATGCTGATGTTAACGCGAAGGATAATGAAGGCGCGACGCCGCTGCATGACTGTGTGACGAATGGGGATGTTGATATTTGCCGGTTACTGATTAAGGAAGGTGCGAATGTTAATAGTACGAATAATAAGGGAGCGACGCCGCTTCATCTCGCTGCTACTGAAGGACGTTTAGATATCCTGGAGGTTCTGCTGTCTGAGGGGGCTGATATTCATTGCAGAGATTTAGACGGAAAAACTGCGCTTCATAGGGCTGTGGCGAGCGAGGATATAAATGTGGTGAAGTTTCTAGTTGATCATAATGCCGATGTTAACTCGAGGATTATCGGTGGATGATCTGTTGTATTCTTTTTTATGAGCGGTTCTTTTTAGGTTAAGATGTCGTAATGTAATAATCAATTTATTACGAGGTACTGAAATTTTATTCTACATTATCTATAGATTAATATTTTACAGGATAATATCTGTTTTCTGAATTTCCTTTAACATGTCGCTATTATTGCAGCTTCCTTCGATTTCGTGCCAATTTCCTATATTTCCCACCCGGCCAGGGTGGACCGGAAATCGTAATATAACAGGGCAGGGGATGATTTTACGTTAAAAAAGAAGAAAACATTTTGGTATAACATTTTTTCATCCGGAGCTCCGTTTTCGTGAAAATCGGCTCCAAAGTTTATTCAACTTGTAAAGGATTTAGTACAATTTGCTTGTCGTGCATTCCACTGCTCCAGTTGTCTCTGTCTGGGACAGTGTTTACAAACATTGACAACGATGCAAAAGCGTTTACACAGTTAGGTTTACAATAAGAGTCATAGTTTATCATTAGAAACAGGAACGTTGCCATCTTATGGTATAATATTTATGTACGACAAAGTTCCGTTTTAAATACTTTCTGCTTGATTGCTTTTGTGATGACTGAGTTCGCTTCTTGTATAATCAATAGTGCCACAAGAGTATTTAAATGCAATGTAGGAGATTTCTCTCCTTGCAAAACCGTAATTGCCTTCTGGAAAGGTGTAAAAAATTGTATTAAAATCTCCTCTTCTTATAACGTTGTTCGTTTCTTCTCATTGACCTTCGTCTGATTAAGTCATGACTAAGCTATGGTAAGATATTCCAATCGGGAGTATGTTGATATGTTGGTTACTTTGAGAACTTGCAATGGTAATCCCACTGCTACAAGTATAAATCGTTTACAAGTTGAACAAACTTTGACGTCGATTTTCACGAAAACGGGGCTCCGGATTCAGATGAAAAAATGTTATACCAAAATATTTTCTTCTTTTTCAATGTAGAATCATCCTCTGCCCGGTTGTACTACAATTTCCGGCCCATCCAATATTATAATTAAGATCAAGTACGTTCGGGTAAATATAGTAGTACAATATAATTAACCGCGTCCCTTGATTTACTTTTTAAAAAATCGGATTTATCGGAGGTTATTCCATAATAATTTCACATGGGTTTCTATCCTTAGGTTTATATTACTATACCTTGAACATTGAATCATAAAACACACCGATATAAAATCCTAAAGTTATCCAAAAATTTTGCGGTCCACAACTATCGCACTCACGTACATTTTTCTGAATTCGTACGTTGGTTAGCAACGGTACCACGACCATTGATTTAAATCCCTAATATAAACAATGAAATGAGCCTCTTCGACGAAGTTTCTCATTGTCAGTCATTCATCAAAATCAAAATGCTCTTTTTGTGAAATTCTAGTGAATTTTCAAATCTATCTCTGTATTAACAACATCTTTTTAAATAAAACATGTTTTAAACTGAAAAGCAGTGTGTGAAACTTTGTTAAAACCTCAAAAAATTGACAAATTACCGAAGATCTAATCGTACTAAGTAAAAGAAAAACTCGAATCCGAATTTACATGTATATACAGGGTGTCAGGGTGCCCCAGAACTGGTGATACATTTTTTAATGGCAGGTTTCTGAGATGATTTTGAACAATATTTTCCTTTGTTAAAATGTTGTCCAAAGCGTGGTTGTTAAGGTATTAACGAAAAACCACAGCGACAACCACTTCGTGCGTTGTATACCACGCTCATGACGAAAGCAAAGGATTAAAGAAAAGCTGCATGCAAAAACGAACTAACAAATTGGTTAAATGTCAGAGGAAAGAAAGCGATTAGTCGTTACTTTCGTACATATGTGTACATACGTTCACTAAACAAATGTAACATACTCAATTTTGACAAAGGAAAATATTGTTTAAAATCATCTCAAGAACCTCTCATTAAAAAATGTACTATCAGTTTTGGGACACCCTGTAAAGGACGCGGTAGCGTCTCGCTGGCAAGCTGCCACCTTCGGTTCTTTGCCAGTTGCCTTCGGGTCGCTACCGCATTCATAGAGATAATATGACCATACAGGCACTGTAAAAGATTATCCTAAGCGCAAAGCTTCACACAATAAACATATATACATGCATGCATACATATACATACATTGTCATACATTGTCATACATACATATATATAGAATTAAAGTATTTGAAATTTGATTTGAAAAATAATGTCCAAATAAACTTGTTACGGATTGCAGAATGTTGCCCTTGGAACGCTGAAGCGGTCTGTTCCCGAGAGACTTGTATGATTTTAACGAACAGATATCAAACTCAATTTTTAACTAATAATTTGAATAATATGTATTTGACTTGGAGTAATAAACTTCTGAAGTTAAACAATAATAATGGAGTACTATTATACATATTTGGATATAAATTTTGGAAAGTTTTGTAATATGCGAGTAATGCTGGACAACTAAGACGACGAATGTCGCATCAAGGAATTGACCATTCTTCTTTTTTCTAAAAAACGTTGTTTATAATAACTCGTTGATTGTAAACATGGCGTCTAGCGTCTAGCGCCTCGTGTCCAGAACTGCCAGCATGTTTCAATGTTTGTATACTATACATATATACAAATGACTCCGGGATTCCGGATATATCCGGATAAGCTTATATCGCAGTTCGCACGCACATGAAGGAAATACATAAATCCAGCTAGTCGCGACGCATGGAATAGAACGTATCACATTTTCTATGTATACATGCAAGGTCGACCTAGAATCTTTTTGAGTCACTCACGCCTGTGGTCCACTGTGGTCATATTGGTAATACGAAACCACCCTTGTTTCTCATGAATAAAGCATTCCGCAACTCGCAACCCTCGCAACAATGCCATGTGTAGTATCCGCCATGTTGGATGTGAATCTTCGTATACCAACTAGGTTTTTCTGGTTACAGTTACATATGTAGTTATAATAGAGTATCTATAAAATCACCGAGTGCTAATCGATATCGTTACGTTTTAATCTCGTTTAAAAAATTAGCCGAAGCATCCCGAGGTTGTTCTTTCTCCGCCCGCGCAACGTTAGTCAAGCCTTTCAAACTCGCCTCGCAACTCTTAAATCATTCATCGCTCCATTCGGTGAATCGATAATAATTAACAATTAACGCGCGTTTATATACAGTTTATTTACTAAAAACTTAGTGCGGCGATCACAAATAAATGCGGTTCCATCGGCTCGATGAAACGCCGTAGCTGCTTGAAGTCTCTCAAATCGGTATTTATTTACATATTCTACACAGGCTCCTTCTGTATGAAAAATCCGATCCAAATCACGATAGATCGACCAATATAAGTAAAGGCAATTTATATGAAATCCCGTGGATCGTCGAGATTCGAGCGTTTCATTTACAAAAATTTTTGTGATTCGGTGATGAATCCAGAGGAGGCACACCGTCGGGCTTAGGTGTCCAACCGGGTCGAACTGCAGGCACGCGTGGAGATGTGCGGTCGATCAAATATTTTTCTTCACGTGCGTACATACGTCAATGATTCGTACTATTGTACGATTCTTATTATAAATCGTGATATTTAATTAAAATAAGCCTGTTAAATTTTAATTAGGTCACAGAAGGACGTGGGTTCTATATTCTCATGGGGTGCGAAGTCTAAGTCGAATAAAACGAAACCGGAAGATGAGGACGAGGAGGAGGAATTGTCAGTAGAGGATCAAATTGGAACCTTTACCAAGGATCAATTTCGTAAAGAGTCTTTACAAACGTTCGACAGACTCCGAAGGAAGAGCCAAATTAGGAATCCCAGCCAGGATCTCATCGACGCCAGTAATACATTTATACAATTCGCAATAATCGAACGAGGATATAGGGAAATCTCGGATGAAAAAAGTTGAAAAACATGATCTTCACATTTCCCCTTACGATTTATACAAATCTGAATATTCTCCGTAATCTTTTGACTACTCCAAAAAATTCAGGTTGTTTGGTCCGATTTTAGAAAAATTATTTAATTTTATATAGTGTGCGTTCTTCTGTTTTGCTCTTCACTGGAGCTGCTTTCATCAATTGTAGCTTTTACTGCTTCAGATAGTTGCATGTTTTTGTCTCTTGCGTTACTTCTACAATTTTTAGATATATTGTTACTATCGTTTATTGTCTGATACGATTTTCACGTAACTCGGATATATCCTGAAATTACTCCATCATCGTTTCATTATTTCCCATCGATTATTCATAATTCTTTCCAGACAATGCAAGCTTGGACAAGTTTGAGACCCTCGAAGGTGGGAAATGTATCGATCACCGTTGCCCAGAGAAGTCTTTACCACCGCTGGACGAACAGATTAACAGAAACGATAATGGTCCGGACACTCTCTCTCTTTCCTTACTGTTTCCTGATTCCAGCGAGCTGTTCAAATTTGCAGGGAGTCGAATCGAACCTGCGGGCAAACTTAAAATGAAATACTCGGGACAAAACCGCGGACAAGCAGCGTTACAGAGCCGACGGATAGTGATCAGTACGGAGGATCTAGCTGGGAGAGACGTAGCCCGAGTGGTGTGGCAGAGGATGAATGCGTTGGAGAAGAAGACCGCGAAGCACGGCACGGTGGTACGCTCGACTGCGTTAATAGTGAAAAGCTCCAGGGGCAGTAGCTCACCGTCTGCCGCAGAATCGGGAAGAACATACGTTCTGTTAACTCCCGGGGAGTATTCGACGATCACCACCGTGATCGACGGGTCGCCGGGGATCAAACCAAAGGTACGATCGGCGGGTCTCATTTAATCGTCGGATTACAGCTTCACGATTTTATTTCTCCGGTTCCAGCGGATGAAATTTGATGAAAAAAGGCAGAGCCGTACTTCTATACTAGTAGAAGATCTGTGAATCTTTTCAAATTTTCCCATTATTTATATTAAAAAAAAGTCGTGAAGTTGACAAATTTCGAAGAATCATCAGAACTAAAAGAGAATGTCCTTGGATGTTCGATATTTTTAATGTTTAATTTTGTCTGACTCTAACTTAAGATTGCATATTACATCGTTTAATGTTTTGTTGTGAAACAACGTAGGACACGATGGGAAAACAGCCGAATGGGAAAGTTGCTTGGAAAAGCAACCAGTTTGTGGCTGATACTAATTCGCTTGGAATCGCGAAAAGCTGCAGAGTCAGCCGAGTCGAACCGAACAGACGATCCTGGGAATGGACAGGTGAATTAGAAACCATAGAATTTTAAACGTATTTGTAGACGCGAAACAATACCTACGATTCTCGTATAAAATATTTCTTTGTATTTCTAATAATTAACTTACATTATTAACAATAAGTCATTTGAATTCGACTTCAGGTAGTCAAACGGACTGTTGTGTCGCCCGGGACTCGTTCGATCATGCCCGTTCCTCTTCGGACAGCAACCTCCGTCCACCCAGCATGATAACAACGAAGGTAACAGAGAAAATCGAGTCGAAACAAGCAAGACAAGAAGGAAAACAATGGCACAAAGCGTTCCACCTATTTCTACCCGCTTTCATTCTGGTGCTCGCAGTTCTCTTCTCCCTATTTCAACCAGAGTTGACGATTCTTAACCAACTGCGCATTAAACGAGATATGGTCAACGAATTAATCGAGGAGACTATAAATAACATTAGGAATCAATATTGTATTCCTATGCTCGAGGCTTTCCGAAATCGACTAGCCCTTTAAACAACTAATGTACAATATTATTAGATGTTTAATTAAATGTTAGCTCGAATGCATGTACATTTAACACTAAACCTGCCAACAGTTATTGCACACTAATACACTATATACTTTTTACATTTAAATCCAGTTTAATGCATTAATATTTTAGTTTAGTACTAGCTTGAATAATAACAATTTTTAAAAAATAATAAAACAGTTTTCGTCTTCTTTTTATAGAATAATTTAATCATTTGGACTGCGCGTGGTATGTTTAGTGTTAATGTGTTAAACGGTTATAACGTAGAAACAATTTATGGGATGTAGGGCTATGTGAACGTTGTTAAGATCATTCTACCGTTACCAAACGCGACCTTACCTTCGTTTTAATGTGGTAACGATTAAATGAAACGAGGTTTAAGCTTTAATTAAATGATTCCCGTCTTCTCTTTTATTGTCCTTGGGAGCCGATTATATTATACAAAAAGACAGGACCCCCAAGATCCTCAAAAATAGGATTTTAGATCCTTTCTTTTTCTATAATACAACTGGCTCCTTCTCTCTAGTTTCTTACAAATAATTATTAATTTTTACATGTAATTATTAATTATCAATGACGAAAATAAGAGCAGGACTTTTCTAAATTGAATGAAACTCAATATATCAGTTTTTCTGTTCGTTTATCCTGTTGTACATTTAACACTAAACCTGCTAACAGAAATTTAAATGCAGTTCAATGCATTAGTTTTTTAGTTTTGTATCAGCTTAAATAGTAACTATAATTTAAAAAAAATAAAACGATTTTGTCTTCTTTTTATAGAGGAATTTAAGAAGTCATTTGGACCGTGCATTGTAGGTTTAGTGTTAATATAGTACATGTTTATCGTGTAGGAACAATTTATGTGATGTAGGGCTACGTGAATGTTAAGATCGTTCTACCGTTGCCAAATGCGATCCTACCTTCGTCTTAATGTGGTAACGATTAAATGAAACGAGGTTTAAGTTTTAATTAAATGATTCCCGTCTTCTCTTTTATAGTCCCTGGGAGCCGGTTATATTATAGAAAAAGAAATCCTAAAAAAAGGTCCTTTCTTTTTCTATAATACAACCGGCTCCCCCTCTCCAGTTTCGTACAAACAATTAGTAATTCTTACATGCAATTATTAATTGTCAACGACGAAAATAAGAACAGAACTTTTCTAAACTGAATGAAACTCAATATATCAGTTCTTCTGTTCGTCTATCCTGTTGCAAGGTATTAGCACGAGATTCGGTATACCTCCAGGCGGTGGGTGAATGTACTTCTCGCTCGAGTTCCTAATAGAGCCGTTCGAATATTTTATCTCAGCCTCGTTTACTATTTGGAATATCTTCATTTTAACGTCGGCTTGCACCGTCGCCGGCAATCGTTTAACCGTCTCTTTCATACCGTCGAAGAACAATTGTAAACTCTTGTTATCCTCGGCGAAAGGTTTGCTCTCCGTATTCTGGTAGCTCCTAACGTAGTAGCCGGTCGGAAGCTCCATCGTCTCACCGTCCAACTGTCGCCTATCGCGTTCACAATTATAATTCTCATGAAATTTAGTCGTTTCGCTCGGCTGCATTTCTTCAGGTAGAATGTTCACCATGATCTCTGTAGTATCCTCGATCTTATTCGATTTATCCTTCTCGCAGAGAGACCAACTGCTAACCTGGGAATACGAGGAACTCGGGTTGACGAAGTTTACATTCAAACTTTTCAACGGAGAAGGATCGACGACGTCTAAGTATTCCGTGTAATTTTCGTCGTTCTTGTCTTCTAATTGTTTCAACAGGCGTTTAGTGGTGTTCCCACTCGAATTGATGGTTTCGATGTAATCCTGAGAGACCTGAATTATCTGATGTCGATCGCCCGGCTCATACCTGGAGGGATTAGTTAGATCATAAAATTAAAAAATTGTATAATAACATTAATATAAATTTACTTGAAAGTTATCGCAGAAAGAGAGTAAGTCGGATTTCTGAGAATTTTTACTCAGGAGGAGGCGAATGACATGCTACAATTAAATTGGAAGTGGAGACATCGAAGAAGAGAAATTTATCGGCTTACTGAAATTTAAGGAAGCTGAGATCATCCTCGAATATCCATTTCTTTCTACGCTCGCCCCTGTCTGCTCTTTGTAAGTTTTTTAATATACGGGAGTATGTGTCTCGCAAGTTCTTCCAACGCAGTCTCATCCAATTCGCTGAAATAGAGGACGTTCTGCATTTTTATTTAATATAAAGAATAAATGGAAGAATTTGAGAAAATACTTATTTATATTACAAGCACAGTACTAGATCTTTGAACTTTTCCGTCAAATTCTATACGCTAGTTCCACAGAAATTAATTATTAAAAATACTAAAAATCACGGGTCAATCCGTTTTTGGTTCTGATAATTCTTCGAAATCTGCCAAATTTATGAACTTTTTTCAATTTAAACAACTGATAGACTGATTTGGAAAAATTCTTACTTATATTACTGTTGTATGTACAATTGTATCTCTGAATTGTTGTCATCAACTTTTATCCGCCGGATCCGAAGAAATTAAAATGCCAAAGATATTGAAAATCGTATGTAAAGGCAAATACATCCCTTCACATCTAGCAAAATTTGCGCTTTTCCCGAGTTTTGTTATAATATAAGTAATGGACGGAAAAATTTGAAAGAATTTACACATGTCGTATACGTATAGAAGTACATCTCCGACTTCTTTCATACAATTCCATATGCTAGTTCCGAAGAACAAAAATATTGAAAATCGTTCTCTAAAATGTGACAAAACTGATTTGCATGCTTAATGAATTTTAATGTAAAAATAAATAATAGCTAAAAAAATCTGAAAAAAATTCTCACATCGTAAATCTCATTCTTTTCAGAATTTTCGATCCACCGCAACTTGCATATGTCTAAAACAGAGATTTGCTTGAAACAATCTCATCGCGACGAACGCGAATTAATCCGAATTATCTCTAAAAACTAGTAAACAAAAATAAGGAGCTTCACACATTCTAAACCTCACGCGTTCTCACGTTATCCTTATTATCGATTAGAAACATTCTGTCGAAGACTCAATGAGCGAAAACAATTCGGTAGAAACAATTGAAACGCTTGTAACGGCAGCTCACCGTCGACGCCGAGATCGTCAGCGATCTTGTTCCAGACCTTTTGACGCAGCTCCTGGAGCTTCACCGTGGAGCTCCTAACCTCCGACGGCCTATACAGCACCGGGTGCTCCCTCACCGCCTCGATAATCTTCAATGAGAGTTTGTGAGAATCCGAATCAGGCGACGTCGTCATCTTTCGCTTCGTTGGAAATGTTCGGACGCGCACGTTGCACGACATTGTGAACACGGCTGCTAGTGCCATCAGTTAAGTATGCTATATGTATGTATGGTATCACGGCCGTTTCTAGTACAGGCCGAAACATGTGATATGGCAACAGTGTACCATCAGGCCGAACAGTCCGAAAGTACGATAGAAGCAGGGCTCTCGTAATTTATCCCACGGCCGGAAAGTGGGGACGACGCGACCATGGTGGGGACCAATAGTTGGTGGAGGTATGCAGTGATTTTCACGGTAGCGCTGCGGAGAGCTTCGCGAACGCGCATGAGCACGCATGAGGGGAATAGTAGTGGGGATCGAAATACGGGCGAAAAACAGGGGAAGCGAGCGTCGTGGGTAAAAATATCTCAACCCTGGTCCCGCCCTCACCTCAGACTCGGAGACTTGGAGTCAGGTGGTGGGGCGAAAAGCTAGGCGGCGCCAGAAGGCCGCCGTTGCTCCTCCTCCTTCGCGGGATGCGTCCCTGGGGAGGGGCAAGAAGAAGTCTGCTCCCCCCTCGCAGGATGTTTCTGCGAGGAGGGGAAAGAACACAACAGGCGGACAAGCGCAGGTGCCGGCTAAGGCACTACCTACACCTGGCCGTGCCAAGAAAGGGGCGGCGAGGAAGACCAAGTCGCCGCGGCCCCCGAGAGCGGCCGCCGTGACGGTTACGGCCCCCACGGGCGGTTCGAAATCCGTGGCGGAGTTTATAGAGGAGGCAAGGAAGGCCATAAATTTGGAGGAGATGGGCATTGGGCCGATCCGCTGTAGAAGAGCAGTCACCGGTGGCCTGGTTTTACAGGGCACGGATGCGGGAGGTCGCTGCCGGCGCTGATGTAAGGGTGCAGCGACCGGTGAAGTGCGGCGATGTCCGCATACACGATATCGCAGATGCGGTCAAGGTTGCGGACATCGCCGCTGCGATAGTTAAAGGAGGTGAGTGCCGTGAGGAGGACGTTAGATTTGGCGAAATCCGCCGGTCCCCCTCCGGACTCGGAACTGTTTGGGCGCGGTGCCCTGTGTGCGCCGTGCGCAAGATCGTTGCGCGAGGCAGGCTAACCTGCGGTTGGTACTCCCTGCGTGTCACGGCCTTAGAGGCGCGGAAGCTGCAGTGCTTCCGTTGTCTCGAGGCCGGGCACGTGAGGGAGACGTGTACGAGCCCGGTGGACCGGAGTAATTTGTGCTACGTTTGTGGCACCTCCGGTCACCGGGCCAGCGGCTGCCTCGCGCAGCCTAAGTGCGCCATTTGCACGGATTTAGGCCGCCCAGCAAATCACAGGCTGGGCGGCCCGAAATGCACCCCGCCCAAGAGACGGGCGGGGCGTAGAGGAGGAGGGGCATCTTTACAGCCCCCCGCACCTGATAAGGTGGGGGGTAGTGTCCGCCAGGAGGGGGCGATGGAGGCGGAGCCTTCCCCGCNAAACAGTTTGATGAAGGGATGATACATTTTCGGAAAACGAAACAGAACTATATCTTACATTTGACGTTGCATAATTGCTATTACAATTATGGATCCAACACTTGTCTAGCATTTGCAAAATGTATGAAAAATATGCTTTCAATAGATCGCACTAATTCATCACAGTTTCATATTTATTACACAATGCAAACATTAAAAAGTTGTCGTATATGAACTAGAGGTTATAGTTATTTTTACCGTATTATTTCTGCTACTGAACCGTCTCTCACAACTTTCCTTCGGGAGAATTTTCCCGACTCGATGGACAAATTCGTTAGTGAAAATGTTTTTAGCATCCCTGAAAGAAACCCGACCATCGGTTCCTTGTAATATTTACAACATTCCCCACGTGTTAAACACTCGGTACCTCCGTCACTTGCAGCCAACAAAGCCGTAGACGCATTGTAACCAAGTAAAAGCCGTGCCACAATCAGTACGGAAGAACTTTCGCCAGTTTATTGTATTCGATTTCCCTTAAAAACACGTGTTTGATAATAAAAAGTACCTTTGATTAGTTGAACGTAGTAAAAGATGTCCTTCTACCTTTAGTTACCACTAATGCCAGATGGAGTGCATACCGGTGGGTCGTATTTTACGCGTTCAACTAGTTACAAGTTAAGGGAAATCGAAAATCATAAGCTGGCGAAAGTTCTTTCGTACGGATTATGGCACGGTTTTTACCTGCGTGCAATGTGTCTACAGCTACGGCAAAAGGCAATCGAGGCGTCGACGGTTGGTAGCTGCAAGTCGCGGAGTTACCGAGTGTTTAACACGTGGGGAATGTTGTTAATATTACAAGGAATCGAAGGTCGGGTTTCTTTCAGGGATGCTAAAAACATTTTCACTAACGAATTTGGCCATCGAGTCGGGAAAATTCTCCCGAAGGAAAGTTGTGAGAGACGGTTCAGTAGGTATCGAGTCGTGCACCTCAACTCAATGATGGATCCCGAAAAATCCAACAGAGTATTACGAAATAATCCGAGAATTCGCCTAACGCGAAGATGGTTATCCGCCGATTCCAATACAAAGAACGTCATCCCGATCGAGTCGCGGCCCTCGCGCATCGTGTAGTTCACGGGCCACGCGGGTAATGAAATTCATTTTGTGAATGAAAAACGATCGGCTCCTTTCGGAGACGTTTAATGTTAGAGTGCAGGAACGACAGTGTAAGTGTTTGAAAACTTTTAAGTGAAGAGTGACAGTGGTGTAATGAAGTTGAGTTCGTAATAAAAATCAATCGGCTCCTTTGAAAGACGTGTATTGATAGAACGTAGGAGCAACAATCTCAGTGTGTTAAAATTTTCAATTGTAGAGTGACAGTGATCGTTCGAGGTTCCTTCCCTGGACAGAAGATCAGCTGTGGCTGTGGCCTACCTGCGAGCGGCAAAGACGCTGACCTATTGACCGTGGCCCATCGTGAGCAGGTGCACTTGCGGATGATTGGGTAACTCTAATCTCTACAGTTTTCGCATTTTCTTTTAAATTCAATATTCCCTGCGTCTTATTAAATTCCGATTTATCCTATCATCATCCATTAATTATCAACTATCTTTTCACCATCCATTCCATGTGAATAACGATTAAGTGTACTAATTGTTATCCATAATATCGCACGAACAACAATTTTCTTGCATTGTTATTCATGTAGTTTATTAAACTCGTCGATATATTTTCTATTTTTACCTTTTTCCGTAAAAATTCTGATAAAACACAATCAGTTTCAAAAAACGGAATGTAATGTGTGCTATCCTTAGAGTTACATTTGCTTTTCTTTTTGATGATATTTGTAAAAGACATGTTTTATCCAAAGACGTACAGTTACCATATTTAGATTGTTTTACATCCGCGTGTACTAAGAGTTTTTTGAAAATATTTGTAAACTGATAGCACGTAGGATTGTTACTATGACCCCCTTTGCTTCTTACTGCGCTAAATAATTCTCTAAATGATCCTGGGAAAGTTTGTAAGTTAATAAGTATCCATTAAACGGTTTAATAAAATTTTCGTAGACTTGTACAACATTGTATAACGAAATTATTATTCCCAGAAATCCAGTTTTTCTGGCATAAGTGACGACTGGAATACCATTTATAGTGCGTAATCCTCTGATGTATTCAATAATGCTCTTAATTTTCTTTCTTTTTTCCTCAACGTTACCTTCATCTATTCCGTTGTTACATTAATTTTTTTATAGTGTTCTCTTGAATTTAAAATGTCCAAACTTTCGTTTATAACGGAACAAAATTTCGCAGTTCCTTCAACTTCTTCGAATTCAGGAATTTGCAGATCAGCGCGCACATATCGCAGAGCAACGCTACAGCTTTCACTTAAAGTTTGCGCAGCTAAACGAACATTCATCTTGTTTTCTTCAAAATTTATATGTTCACGTGTAATTTTTGTGCCTAAATGAAATCCCTCAATGTCCTGTAAATCCACTAATTTTTCTAAAAATTTTTAAAAATTTCTAAGAAATAACGTTACCGTCAGCATCATAAATTTCTTCATTTGCGAAAGCGTTCCTTATTAATTTTAACATATGACAACCATCAGGT